TAAGTAGGCTGACAACAGCGCGGCGTGGAGCAGGGGTTGGGTGGGGGGGCGTATACATATTGTAATAATGTGGCGTAATAAAACTGAGCAACAAGAAACGCCCTCCACGAAACCCGAAAATAATGTAAAGGAGCACACCCCACACACACACACACACACACACGCAGCTGTATCTAAATCATGATGGGTGTGTGGCTGTATCTCAGCGTTCCTGGTTTTGTCGGGCTGTCATCAGGAAATGACGGCATTACGGCATTTACAGTTAATGCCCGAAATGTCCTCGAGGATTGGCGCACACAGTCAACGCCCCCTTCTCAAGCCGCAGAGCCAGCCACATGGCTTTTTTGCCCATTTCATTTCATACATTTTTGCATTTTATTTGATTTTATTAGATGTGCGGCGATTTTGGGTCTGCCGCCGGGGATTGCTTCTCTTCCCTTAGCAATTTGTGAAATCGCCTTTTCGTCCTTTCTAACAATAGGAAACAAACTACGATTGTGACACGCAAAGTGAAAATTTATATGCTAAATAGAGCTTTAGTTTTTATAAAAAAGAAAGATTCAGGTCTGCGATTGACTTAGTTTTGACCCATAAAGTTAAGTCAGGGTATACATATAACAAAGAGTGACCTTTTCTTACTTCCTCTCTCTCTCCTTCTTTCTGCTTCCCTCTATTTTACATTTTGAGGCTCTTGCGCAGTTTATGATTTTCTCACGCTTAGCTTTTATTACGCCCTTCTATGCAATTCTCACAAATTCAAGTCTTGCTGCCAGATGTTGCTTGCTGTAGAGATGTGTTTATTTATTTGTAAATATTGGTTTACACGTTTAAGTAAATATTATTGTTGAACTTTCTCGAGTAGAACAATGCCAATTGTTGCCCTTTGTTCAATTATAGCATTTGACTTGCATTACTTTTGATCATTTCGAAACCCCGTGGATGTTACATTTACTAAGCATGATTTTTGGTCGACATGGCCGGCTATAGCCAACCACAATGGAGCACATGATATGAGTTTGATGTCATGGAATTGCGTTGCCGCCTTTCAGGCGCATTCAAAGCCACAATTTCCAATTAAGTATTCATTTCGTTTTGTCAACTCGAACAGTGGAAATTCAGCAACAACTACAACTAGAGTGCGGCATCAAAACATGCTCGACAAAGCTAGAAATTTACAATTTCATGTCACACACACACACGAGCACTCACTGACACACATACACAAAGTATGTCGCATTCGGATAACTGGCAACTGCCACTCCCACAACTGCCCCTGACAACTGCCAAATGAAATATTCATATTTTCGGTTTTCAACTTTGACCTCTTGCTGTTGCGTTTCCCCCCAATCCCTAAAAATACCAAATTGAATGGAGTACATATATATAGTTTTTACCATGACACGTTAAAGCGCCACCTGTCGGCCGGTGGCAGCGACGTGTGCGGCATGCAACGGCCTCAATTACTATTGAGGTGTTGTGAAAAATGGCAGCCACAAAACAACTGACGGAAATTATAGCGGCCCGTAACTCTATCAATCAAAATGGGGGGAAACGAAAAGCTGAAAATGTTTGCTTTGATGTGCCGAAACTTAAATTCTCTGGAATTCTCTAAACTGGATTTTAACTAGAAAAAATTAAAATACTAAAATGAATTTTAAAAAGAAGAACTAACTTCGTTCCTTATTTGTAACTACTTTCTTTACGGGGATTCGATCATGAAAGCTTAAATTCTCGAAACTTTATTTAAACGTGAAGAAATAACTTAGTTGTCCCTGATTTTTGTTCGATCCCACATCTTTGCATGTGACAGCTTTTGTGTGAAGAAAACGAATGACAAAAAAATGAATAATTTAAATTATTTTTGTGAACACCAATTCATATTTAATTACTTTTTAATAAATTATTCATAATTAATTAGAATTGATAATTAATTTAAATGATTTATTATTCCTTTCTTTGAATAATATATCAAATACTCATGTGATTCACAACGATAATTTTCACTGGACTTGAACCGGCGACCTGTCGCTGCTCATTATGGACTGAGAGATTTATTTTTCTACGCGTTACACAGTTTGTATTGTAACTAACATTTGCTTTTAAAGGGTATACAAATGGAATTTTGTATCAATTGTTTGCCCATTCGACAAAATGGAGCCAGTATATGCATACCCCTACACATATATAGTACATATATGTTCATGTTTCGATCTGCGATATTGCATATATCGTGGTATTTAACAGTTCAGTTCGCAGACATGCGGGCCCTGCCTTTTGCCCCTCTCACCTCTTTTACCTTGTGCAGGTGATACAAATAATTTCGCAAACATTTTATGGCAATAAAATGCCACGATTCATTGACCTTATTAAGACTGTCGCCACACTTAATGTGTTTGTGCATACGTGTGTGTGTGTGTGTGTGTGTGTGTGTACCCCTTGTTGACCCCTGAAGTCGCCTCTTTTATTGCTGCTGCTCCAACTGATGCTGGAGGGGTTCATGAACTCGCCGAAACGAAAAGTTTGACTTTTATGCGCCACGCAAAATGTGCATAAAGTTTGTTTTTATTGTGTTTGTTGCTGTTGCTATTTTCGGGTCCTTAAAGCGCGACGCGTTGCTTTTAACAAACTCGACAGGGACAATAAACGGAGACTCAGACGTCGTTGTCCTTGCAGCACAATTTTGATGTGCTTGGCCAGAAGTGAAAGCCAATAGAACTTTTGAAAAAGCCATGTCAATATTTGACTTTCTGCGATTTCCATTTCACAGATAACATTTTTATGGCGCCTTTGTCTGTGTTTCATAGTCTTCTCTCTCTATTTCTCTGAAATAGGTATAATTATGGAGATTGTTTTAAATCATCTATAAACTTGTCTAGTCTCCATGGAACCGATAAAAATCGATATCTAAATTGAGTTTTGTTTAACGTATCTCGAATATTAAAAGAGCTTGTTAGATAAAACTTGGAAGTTATATCCTTTAGTATATACAGATAAAGATTATTTCACTTTTTGCTACCTTCCCACTTTCCTCCCAAAATTTCTCTAAAATTTATATTTGAAGCCAAGTCTTGAGCTTTAAATTTTTCACAATTTTCGATGCCATATTTATACTCTAAAAATATTATAAATATCCCAAAATAAACACCAAAGCTTATCAAGCAAGAATTTCCCAAAGCGTGGACATAGAGAAGAAGGCAGCCAGAGTAGCTGCAGGGTATCTTGCAGTCGAGCACTGCCGACACTCCAGATTTAAATGTGGCACACTTTAAGCGGCACTTTAATAATTGACAGCAATAGATAACTTGAGCTAATGCCAGGATATTAGTTAATGCCGCAAATGCAGCCTGCCAACTGGCAGCACAATTTCATAGCAGCTGCGCACACACAAATACACGCCGATAAACACACACACACACACACAGACACACACTCGCGTCCACTTAAATATCCTGCCAACAAATGCGCAACAATAACAATTTAATTTTAGGGGCAAGTGCTGCAACAATTTGTGCAACAAAGCAGCAGTTTGTGTGCTCGGTTGTGGTTGTTGCAGCCTTGGCCTCGCACTCGCACACACACACACACAGATACACACTCACACACGCACACTAGACCATAATTATCCAATTGAACAATAAACAGATGCCCGCCAGGCCTTCAGTCAATAGACAATGTGCACTCCCGTTCCAGCTGTTATTCAGGCTGGCAATTGTTATGCCCATTCAATGTGATTGAATGGGAGGGTATATTGTGGCTGGGCAAGTGAATGTAACAGGCCGATAGAGTATAGGGTATATGTATTCTTGATCTACGAAATTTGAAGGACTAGGAACTCCAAGAACTAATTTGCGTATAGGAAAAGCAGATCTTTCTAGTTATTGAGCACCAAAATCAATAAATATCGGTGCTAAGCTCTGGTTTTAGGAGCATTACTCACAGATCATAAAAGCTGGAGAAGCCAAACTTCTTATTTTTTAGTAGGTAGCTTCTCAAATAGTATAGACAACATATTATATGATATTAGCGGGTGTTGCCCGGCCTTGCCCGTGGAACGTTTTGTGCTAATAATGTTAGATATTACCTTTCCATTAAGTACACGCCCGTGAAAAATGGAAATCTACCCATCTTGAGCTACACTTCTATTAAAAAATATGTTTTAAATGCATAAAGAACCAAGTGTTGGAATCAACGGACGGATTCCGCCCATGTTAGTTTTGCGGTGAGAATTTTGAAGCTGAAGAATTAAATTTCGTCCTTTGACCCGCATTTGCCAGCCAAGAACGTATCAAATGAATTCTCACATAGATAAAAATGACTTTAGGGCCAATCGGATGGTAAGCAAACAAGTTTTTCGCGATTTTTCCACACATGCGGGTGGAATTTCCCTTCAGTGAAATCTCCCTTGGGCGGACAGCTACTGTCGGTTAGTTTTTGTCCACTTAAGACGAGTATCCTTCCACTAGAAAGGGAAATGGGAATGGCTTGAGAGCCCAAGCATTAGTGTCAGCTAGAGAGTTTTCACTGTACTAACATATTGGAAATTCTTTTTTTGAGCATATCTCGGAGCTTACAGGAAATAGGCACACAAAATGTGGGCTGTACAGGGTATCTCCTAGCCAGGCAGCCTCAATTGGGCCATGTTTACTTGTGGTTGTTGCAGTTGCTGTTCCGACTGTCGCTTGGGCTTTGGTCAACCTGCAGCTGCTGCTCGTGCTGCAGGTCGTTCCTAGCTGCCAAGTCAAGTGAAATGATGTGCCAAAAACGTTTATCTAGAGAGCGGAGCGGAGGGAAAAGGCGGAGGCAGCAGCAGCAGCAGGACATCGCAGGACAGGCTTGGGTCACTGACTCGACTTGCCCTTTGCGTGGGTGTGTGCGTGTGTGTGTGTGTGTGTGGTTTGGTTGTGCGTCTGCGAAATGCCCTTTTAATGAATATTTATAGGAGCCGTAACTAATTTTTCTTCTTTTTTTTTTGGCTTTGTTTACATTTTGTTGTGTTGCAGGTGGAGCAGGCTTGAACAATGTGCAGACAGTTGCTGGCTGAGCTCGCTGGCAGGACAACAAACGCAAGGATAATCAACAGCAACAACGCACAGCAACAACAACAACAGCAGCAGCAAGAAGAAGAAAAGGAACAACATTAGCAGCAAGAGGAAAACAACAACTTTTTTACATAAACAAAATGAATATTTGAAAACGCTTAAAAGCAAAACAAGGCAATGCCCTCCATGCAACTCTTGATGCAAGCAGCTTAAAAGGCCACTTCATACACACACACACACACACACTCACACACATACATTCACTCACTCACACTCACACACAACTTGACTGATAGTTTAAACTACAAAATACAACAAGAGAAGCAGCAGCAGCAGCAGCAGCGGAACAAACAAAACGTTTTTAATTTGTATTAAGTAAATATTGCAACTCGTGATATGCCAAATATGCGTTGCCGCTGCAGCTGCTGCTAATTTCAAATCGCAACAACAACAACAACAGCAGCAGCAGCAACAACAACAACAACAACAACTACCCTTCACATTTAGCTGCCACAGCCTGCTGCAACATGGGCAACAAATGCTGCAGCAAGCGACAGGATCAGGAGCTGGCGCTGGCCTATCCGACGGGCGGCTACAAGAAATCCGACTACACCTTCGGCCAGACGCACATCAACAGCAACAGCAGCGTCGGCGCCGGCGTTGTTGCCGCCCTTGGCCAGAAGCACAACAATGGCGGCTCATTGGACTCACGCTATACGCCCGATCCGAATCGCGGTCCGCTCAAAATTGGCGCCAAGAGCGGCGTGGACATCATACGAACGCGCACCACACCAAGTAAGTGTAACAATGATGATGTGAAGGGAGAAGAATCGGAGAAGCTGGCAGAAAGAACTGGGCCTGGGCTTTCTATAAGAGCAAGAGTTGCTCGCTCGGCTTGATGAAGCAGAGACTTGATCTCGCTGAAGAAGCCCTGATCTCAGCTGGGGAAATTCAAGTTACGGTCGGACAGAAAACCCCAAATTCGTCATATATCTGCCGTAGACCTGCTGAAGAAGCCCTGATCTCAGCTGGGGAGACTAAAGTTACGGTCGGACAGGAAACCCTAAAACCCCGAAACTCCCAAATTCGTCATATATCTGCCGTAGACCTGCTGAAGAAGCCCTGTTCTCAGCTGGGGAGACTCAAGTTACGGTCGGACAGAAAACCCTAAAGCCCCTAAATTCTGCCATATGTCTGACCGTCTGACAATCGGCACGCAGACATCTGCCATATCGAGTCTTTCATGTGTCTGCGGCAGATTATTGGTTCGTCTTCTCCTGGCTGGAGATGATATTATTCGCCAGGTTCTCTTGATGTCTGGGTTAGAGGATCGACTGTTGTCAATTTGCTTATCTGTTTCCAATCAAGAAATTTATTGATATCCAGATTTAAATACACTTGCTTGAGGGATTTTTAGTTTTGTCATTAAATATGAAACCAAGAAGAAGACATTTGCAGATAAAATATCATAAATACGAGCTGATTCTGGTTAAGCATTAATATATGGCAGATATACTATATATTTCCCTCCTCTTCCCCTTGCAACTGGCTTGGTTATGACTCAGCAAACTCTGCTAAACTATATTGCCTATTTAATATGCAGATTCTTTTTGTGTATAGTTTAACGATTCCGTCAAGTGCCGACCGAGCTGTAATTGTGCAATTTGCAGTTCAGCTGTCAACTGGAGCCACACACACACACACACACACGCACACGCACACACATATAGAGGGGGCCCCAACAGGCAGAGTTGGTCAAGGTTAATTCGACTGTCACACAAGCACGGCAAATATGAGACACAGAATGACCTTCTACGCGTCGTCTGAACCCGCAACTCCACCTTCCAATCAACTGCCACCAGAGACGCAAACTTTAATTATGTGAAACCGTGTGTGTGCAAGTGTGTGTGTATAAATAGCAACTAGCGTTTGGCCAAAGGTTAAAGCCAACCTGACACTGGCAGCAAAACAAAGTCAAATAGCTAATTAAAACGGGAAGGTCCCCGAGCCACCAGAGAGACCCCCCACCCCAAACGCCGCTGCACCCCGCAGGCAAACAAATTACGCATGTAGATGTAGTTAGCCGCAATACACAACAGGGTAGCGCAGGGTAGCTAAGGCAAGGACAAGTTCAGAGTCCTGTCCCAGTTGGCCCAGATATCTTCTATGGATTCTCAGAAATCGGAATACTCCCGTTTGCACAAGGAATCGGAGAGCCTTTGGTACTCTAGCAAGGGACTCCGACTAGCGAATGTGCTTATTGATACCTTTTTATACCCTTGCAGAGGGTATTAAATGTGTAACGCATAGAAGGAGACATCTCCGACCCCGTAAACTCTATATCAGCCGAGTTAATATAGATATGTCCGTCCGTACATCTGGCCTTCCTTCTGCCAGTCCGTCTGCCCATCCGTCAGTCTGTCCGTGAGTCCATCTTCCATCTGCCTGTTTCTATGCTAACTAGTCTCTCAGTTGTCTCTGTTACACGCAGTAAATATGTCGGAACCGGCTGGATCGGACCACTATATCTTATAGCTGCCATAGGAACGATCGGTCGAAAATGAGTTTCTTGTATGAAAAACTTTTTGTTGTTCAAGATATCTTAACCATACGCGGCATTTACTAATTTCCCTGTGCTTCTTAGATGCGAGCAAAGTATTATGAAAAGGTTCATTCTGCAAGGGTATTAAATCTTCGGCGTGCCGAAGATAGCCTTTCTTTCTCGTTAGCCCATAAAACTAGAACTTTTCGCAGCGACTGTTGGTCGTCTACTGGACAAAGCACCACACAATCAAATATTAACTAGCTTAAAGTCATTTAATGAGCATTTAAAGCAGAAGGCAAATTCATTATACCTAGATGAAGCTTCTAGCAAGCAGGATCTTGCTCGCCTTAGAGATTTTATCCTTTTAAGCGGACGCTAAGGCAGTCAAAAGTGTATCAAAAAAGCGAGAAATGCTGACAACTATTCCAGGCTTTAAGATACGAACTCTGACGATTGTCTGAGCGTGAGCAAAAATTTACCTTGGATAAGCTCAAAGCTGTGAAGGATGACACGTGCAGACTTTGCCTTGAGAGCAAAGAAAAAACTGCAGAGCATATTCCCAAAGGATTGTTAAACTATAAAAAGACAAGCTGAGATGGGAGAGAAAGAGAGACTAGGTCGCAAAAATCTCTTTTGCATGACAGGAGAGTTCATAATCCAGGGCGAGCCACAAAAGCAACAGCTAGCAACAGCTGTGTTCAAGAAAATTCTTGAAAGATTTTCGATGAGTGCCACGTTTTAACATGTTCAAGCTGATGGCAGTGGCGGAGGGGGGCGTGGGTACCGGGGTTTGCGGGTTTCTTGTTCAGCAATGACTGCGCCTAATCGCCGCTTGATTAGCTCTGGTATTTAGCATTGCAATACGTTGCGTGTGTGTGTGTGCGTCCAGATTGAGTTGAGGTAAAGCGGCTTAGGTCGTGTAAACCCGTCAAATGCGTTGACAAAGGCTGAAAGCTTGGACCGAGATTTGTGCGTTCGACGTGTCAGCACTTATGCCCGAATGCAGGGCAAGGCAACAACAAACAACAAGCAAAAGAAACAGAAACAGATAGAACAAATCAAATGCAAGGCATGCCAAGTTGTCCGTGTGGGCTAAATCAATTAGCCAAATGCAATTCAGTGCCAAAAAAAACAACAAGTAAGAGTTCGCCAGACGGAAGTGCATGACTAGAAGATGCCAAGAAACCAGATGCAAGTTATCCAGGATTGATACTTGAATAGGAAGAGCTCTCAGTCACATATTCCCCGACTTCCAAGGACAGTCAGACAGACGAGAGAGAGATAGATCTCCATAAGGTCGGATATACCCTCATCAGGCTGTTATAGACATTCCCACAAAGCCAGGGTATCCGAATAGAATTGTGGCTTGGCTTGGCAAATGCAATCCTTGGAAGATGCGCCAAAATGTATGCTAATAAATTTCGCAATTTCGCCAGCCAGACTCTCCCCCCACCCCTCCCCCCCACCTGACCCTGGCCGCAGCTCATTAACTGGCAATTAGATTTTAAATTGATGCTAAAAATTTGTCGCCCATAAATTGCAATTTATGCCATGACACGGATCGCTGCCCTGCAAATCAAATTTACAGCGTCAGCCAGACGCAAATTGCCTGCAGCTGTCTCGCGCTCTCTCTCTCTCACACTTTATTGCTCTCTCTCTCTCTCTCAGCAGCCGGCGTGCCTGGTGGCCTGCCCAAGCGACGCGTCGTTGTCGCCCTCTACGATTACAAATCGCGCGATGAATCCGACTTGAGCTTTACGAAGGGCGACCGCATGGAGGTCGTCGATGACACCGAATCGGATTGGTGGCGCGTCGTTAATCTGACCACACGCCAGCAGGGCCTGATACCGCTCAACTTCGTTGCCGAGGAGCGCAGCGTCAACAGCGAGGAGTAAGTCCATATCAAAGTCCTGATTTTACAGCCAATTGTTAATCTTGTTAACCTTTTGCCGCGCAGCTGGTTCTTTGAGAATGTGCTACGCAAGGAGGCGGACAAGCTGCTGCTGGCCGAAGAGAATCCGCGCGGCACTTTTCTGGTGCGTCCCTCGGAGCACAATCCCAACGGCTATTCGCTGTCCGTCAAGGACTGGGAGGACGGACGCGGCTACCACGTGAAGCACTATCGCATCAAGCCTCTGGACAATGGCGGCTTCTACATAGCCACAAATCAAACCTTTGCCTCGCTTCAGGCCCTGGTCATGGCCTACAGCAGTGAGTATTGGACATCAGTTGGGCAGAGCAGCTCTGAAATCGTTCACTTTGTTACAGAAAACGCGCTCGGCCTGTGTCACATACTGTCGCGTCCCTGCCCCAAGCCGCAGCCACAGATGTGGGATCTGGGCCCGGAGCTGCGCGACAAATATGAAATACCGCGCTCTGAGATTCAGCTGCTGCGCAAACTGGGACGCGGCAACTTCGGCGAGGTCTTCTACGGCAAGTGGCGCAACAGCATCGATGTGGCGGTCAAAACGCTGCGCGAGGGCACAATGTCCACGGCCGCGTTCCTCCAAGAGGCGGCCATCATGAAGAAGTTTCGACACAATCGCCTCGTGGCACTCTATGCCGTCTGCTCACAGGTCAGTCGGGAGTGTGTTTTACCCAGCAGCAGCAGCAGCAACAGTTCAACTAAATCACATTTATTCGTTTATGTAGGAGGAGCCCATTTATATTGTGCAGGAGTACATGTCGAATGGCAGCCTTTTGGACTTTTTGCGCGAGGGCGAAGGACGTTATTTGCACTTTGAGGATCTCATCTATATTGCCACACAGGTTGCCAGCGGCATGGAGTATCTGGAGTCGAAGCTGCTCATCCATCGCGATTTGGCGGCGCGCAATGTGCTCATCGGCGAGAATAATGTGGCAAAGATTTGTGATTTCGGTTTGGCGCGCGTCATTGCCGACGATGAGTATTGTCCCAAGCAGGGCTCTCGTTTCCCCGTCAAATGGACAGCGCCCGAGGCGATCATCTATGGCAAGTTTAGCATCAAATCGGATGTCTGGTCATATGGCATTTTGCTGATGGAGCTCTTTACGTACGGACAAGTGCCCTATCCGGGCATGCATAGTCGGGAAGTGATTGAGAATATCGAGCGCGGTTTTCGCATGCCAAAGCCAACAATTCATTATTTCCCCGACAATATCTATCATCTGCTGCTCCAATGCTGGGATGCAGTGCCCGAGAAGCGGCCCACTTTTGAGTTCTTGAATCATTACTTTGAGTCGTTCTCGGTGACGTCGGAGGTGCCGTATCGGGAGGTTCAGGATTAAAGAGGCAGAGGAGAAGGAGGAGTCGTCACATCACCCACACACACAATACAAAACACAACACAACATCTATAAATATATATATTTATAACGTTATCTATATGTAACGTGTAAACATTTATACATATTTACTATAATTCTTAAGACTTTTAAATGGCAAGGCATACAACAACAGCAACAAAAACAACAACAACAGTAACAAGTATAACATTAACATAAACTCTATATATGTATATGTATATGTGTATAAGCGTATATATATATATATCTAATGAAATTGATGATGATGAAAATGCAACATTTTATATTTTACACGCGAAAACTATTTTATAATTTATATACCTACTTGTATGTACTATTGAAATAGCAAGTATTTAACTAGTTTTGTAAGCTTACCAAAAAAAAGAAAAACGAAAACCCAATAAGAACAAGAAACAAAACGTTTATGTAACGCATATGGCAATTTTCTAAGCAAACTTTACAAGAAAAAAAAAACAACAATTTAAATGCTACTTTAATCGGTGCTTCGATTCGCATCCAATTATCTAACCCAATTTTCTCTCTTAACTCTTAATGATTCCTGCTGAATTTTCGTCCTCTTCAACCAGAAAGAAAACAAAGAAAAAAAAGAACCCCAAGTATTATTTAACACAATCAATATGTTGATAGTTGATATGTTTCAGCTCAATAAATAAATTGCAATGATGGCATTTAACTTATAAAGGGCGTCTACCGAAGCGCCGCCCAGTCGCCCAATTACTTCCATATGTCACATCGAATACTTTTACAAAATATCAGCAAAAAACAAAACAAACAAAAAAAATGATTATAAATTCTTTTGCTGCTGCTTCTACGAGTAGTTGAGGCTAATAAACTCTCCCATTACTTATAGAACAATAGCAAACATTCTGTACAAAAAAGATAACAAATATTCACCTCTCGTACACTTTTGTTTATTTTGTTCTATAGCAATTAAATCAATAATTGTTAATAGTACTTTTAAGTTTATGCCAAAATTCGAAGAGTTTTCATTTTGTATATTTAAGCAATGTCCAAAAGAATGTTAGAAAATGCACTTTCAGTTGGGCACAGTCCACACACACACACACACACATATATATATATATATATATAAATATCTAGCCTTATACTTCGCATTGCCAGCTCACAATTTAGTTCCTCTCCAGATCCGCTATATGTTGTACTCGAATTTAAGAACCCAAGTCAAAAAGCCATGCACTGCAGTCTCAAGGGTTTCAAATAATATATATACATATATATCATATATGATAACAACAGGAATTCTTATCAATCAAGCAAAAGGGGGCACATACATTAAATAATACTATATACACACACACAGCATCTAACTTAGCCGTTGGCACTGAAAAACAAGTGTTTTTTTTTTCTGTTGCTTCTCTTTTTCTATAATTTATTTTTTATTATTATTTTTGTTATAGTCTTAAGTTTCTTAAATGTTTAATTTATGTGTTGGCCATTGTGTGCACATTTGTAGCATAAAACCAAAGTTTAGCATTTCGTATTAAAGAATATATATATATATGTATTTGTAAAGAACAACATTTATGCGGCAACTTAATGCATTTCACCACATATATACACACTCACACACACACACACATACACATACACATAGAGAATATAAGGCAGCTTAAATTAAAGTGTAGCAAGAAATCATTGTATGAAATTGCATTCAACGTAAACTAAAATTTAAACGAAACTAAATCATAACGATAAACAACAGCAACAACAGCAACAACAGCAAATAAATAAATAAAAAATAATATTGTTATAATTAAAAAAAGCAAACACTGGAAATTGTTTAGCGTAGTTGATGAATTTTTGTATATATATATACTTGACATAATGTGTAGCAATAAATGAAATTGAATTGAATTAAACTAAACTATAACTAATATAATATATAATAGACAACAATAGAAATAACAATAGCAGCAGCAGCAGCAACAACAACTAACGGCCTTTGTGGCACGCTAAGTGGCAACAACAAACAATTTTTTATACAACACGGCAATCAAATGGACAGATTTCTAAAATTTTCCAGCTCTCGGCCTTTAGGGGGGCGTGCCGCCGTTGCCGTCGTGTTTGTTGCTCTCAATATAAAACCCAAAACACTGTCATATGTTTAATTATAAATATTGAATAATACAGATAAACATTTGCATAATACTGAAATCGAGTCGCGATACTCGTCTATAATAATGCAAACTGAATTTAGCTGATGTATAACGAGAATCTGTCGGTTCGGCGTGTATTGCATTCAAGTAAATCAATAAAATGAAAAATTATGTAATAAAACAAGTCTACATTCATTTCGATTGTCAGCTATCAAGTATATTATTATTTAATAGTTTTAATATATTTTATGTAAGCCTTCGTATATTCATAGGCTAGCCTAGCAAATTAGCTCGAATAATTGCGGAAGTCTATTTATTATTTGGATTTTCGCATATAGTCAGTACCTTTAGTTAATATTTGTTTAGCTTTATTCGAATCGAAATCCTATCCCTAAGTGTAGGCAGTTTTATATTCCATTTGCTGCATTTCTATCAAAGATTGTCCTTAACCCATGGACAATATTGCGAAGAATTATGCGGAGAGTAATACATTTTTAATAATAGTACTTCTTCTTCTTTAGTTTAATGAATAAGACTTGATATGCTTATGACTGCTCAATTATAGCATGAGGGTTCATGGTTGGGCCTCTAGATAACTTTAGCATCTAAACCTGGCAACATTATTCTTTGCCAAAATTCATATAATAATGGTACCCTCAAGTATCCTATATAGACTTAAGTCAAAATTTCCCACCTCCATAACTTGGTCAAATCTCATCCGATTTTAACGAAGTTTGGCTTTTTCTTCATGGTTTTCCCTCTAGATTAATCTGGCATTCAAATCTGAACACACATTTTTTAGTCGAAATTCATGTCCAAATCTTACCCCAAGAATCGTATGTATATAGACCTGGGCCAAAATTTGTCATACCCATAACTCGGTCAAATCTCATCCGATTTTTACGAAGTTTGGCTTTTTCTTCATGGTTTTCCCTCTAGACTAATCTGGCATTCAAATCTGAACACACATTTTTTAACGAAATTCATGTCCAAATCTTACCCCAAGAATCGTATATAGACATGGTCCAAAATTTTCCATACCCCTAACTCGGTCAAATCTCATCCGATTTTAACGAAGTTTTGATTTTCTTCATGGTTTTCCCTCTTGATTAATCCGGCATTCAAATCTGAACACACATTTTTTAGTCGAAATTCATGTCCAAATCTTACCCCAAGACTCGTATATAGACATGGGTCAAAATTTCCCATTCCCATAACTCGGTCAAATCTCATCCGATTTTAACGAAGTTTGGATTTTTCTTCATGGTTTTCCCTCTAGAATAATCTGGCATTCAAATCTGAACACACATTTTTTAGTCGAAATTCATGTCCAAATCTTACCCCAAGAATCGTATATAGACATGGGCCAAAAATTCCCATTCCCATAACTCGGTCAAATCTCATCCGATTTTAACGAAGTTTGGATTTTTCTTCATGGTTTTCCCTCTAGATTAATCTGGCATTCAAATCTGAACACACAATTTTTAGTCGAAATTCATGTCCAAATCTTACCCCAAGAATCGTATATAGACATGGGCCAAAAATTCCCATTCCCATAACTCGGTCAAATCTCATCCGATTTTAACGAAGTTTGGATTTTTCTTCATGGGTTTCCCTCTAGATTAATCTGGCATTCAAATCTGAACACACATTTTTTAACGAAATTCATGTCCAAATCTTACCCCAAGAATCGTATATAGACATGGGCCAAAATTTGCCATACCCCTAACTCGGTCAAATCTCATCCGATTTTAACGAAGTTTGGATTTTTCTTCATGGTTTTCCCTCTAGAATAATCTGGCATTCAAATCTGAACACACATTTTTTAGTCGAAATTCATGTCCAAATCTTACCCCAAGAATCGTATATAGACATGGGCCAAAAATTCCCATTCCCATAACTCGGTCAAATCTCATCCGATTTTAACGAAGTTTGGATTTTTCTTCATGGTTTTCCCTCTAGATTAATCTGGCATTCAAATCTGAACACACAATTTTTAGTCGAAATTCATGTCCAAATCTTACCCCAAGAATCGTATATAGACATGGGCCAAAATTTGCCATACCCCTAACTCGGTCAAATCTCATCCGATTTTAACGAAGTTTGGATTTTTCTTCATGGTTTTCCCTCTAGAATAATCTGGCATTCAAATCTGAACACACAATTTTTAGTCGAAATTCATGTCCAAATCTTACCCCAAGAATCGTATATAGACATGGGCCAAAATTTGCCATACCCCTAACTCGGTCAAATCTCATCCGATTTTAACGAAGTTTGGATTTTTCTTCATGGTTTTCCCTCTAGATTAATCTGGCATTCAAATCTGAACACACAATTTTTAGTCGAAATTCATGTCCAAATCTTACCCCAAGAATCGTATATAGACATGGGCCAAAAATTCCCATTCCCATAACTCGGTCAAATCTCATCCGATTTTAACGAAGTTTGGATTTTTCTTCATGGTTTTCCCTCTAGATTAATCTGGCTTTCAAATCTGAGCACAAATTTTTAGTCGAAATTCATGTCCAAATCTTACCCCAAGAATCGTATATAGACATGGGCCAAAATTTGCCATACCCATAACTCGGTCAAATCTCATCCGATTTTAACGAAGTTTGGATTTTTCTTCATGGTTTTCCCTCTAGAAAAATCTGGCATTCAAATCTGAACACACATTTTTCAGTCGAAATTCATGTCCACATCTTACCCCAAGATTCGTATACAGACTTAAGTCAAAATTTCCACATCCATAATTTGGTCAAATCTCATCCGATTTTAACGAAGTTTGGATTTTTCTTCTTGGTTTACCCTCTAGATTAATCTGGCATTTAAATCTGAACACACATTTTTTAACGAAATTCATGTCCAAATCTTACCCCAAGAATCGTATATAGACATGGGCCAAAATTTCCATTTCCCATAATTCGGTCAAATCTCATCCGATTTTAACGAAGTTTGGATTTTTCTTCATGGTTTCCCCTTTAGAATAATCTGGCATTCAAATCTGAACACACATTTTTTAGTCGAAATTCATGTCCAGATTTTACCCCAAGAATCGTATATAGACATGGGTCAAAATTTCCCATTCCCATAACTCGGTCAAATCTCAACCGATTTTCACGAGGGTTTGGTCCTTGGCCTCTAAATCAATTACTCATCTTGATCTAGTAGCATTATTCTTAATCAAAATTCATGTAAAAATGGTTATACAATTCACCTCATTTATATACATAAAGGCTTAAGCCATATTTCTTGAAGTGTATTCATTATTCGGCTATCCGTGTATAGTAACTATTTTTTGTTAATATTTCTATAGCTTTATTTCCATCTGAATCAATCTTTAGTCCGATCCAATTTGCTGCATTTCTGTCCAAGATTGTCCTTAAACCATGGACAATATTGCGAAGAATTATGCGGAGAGTTTCTACGTTTTCAATATATAAATAAAACAAAATGATTTTTGTGTTTTTCGCTTTTTTGGATGCCAAAAAAGTTGCATAATTTTATTATTATTGTACGTTTCCCGTTTGAATATAAGTATATATAAGTAATAATGAAATCGTTTCGTTTAAAAATTGTTCAAAGGCAAAAATGTACATAATTAATATTCGTATGTATGTATGTTGCATGTAATTGATTATTGAATTTTCATATATTTGTTTAATGTATGCATATAGAATTTATTGATAATTGTAATGAAGTGCGCTAAAAAGTAAACTCTTGTGTGTGTGTGAGGCTAATGGACTTGATAGATCTGACTTGGAATGAACACTACACGCAAATTTATCTAAGCAATTGCAAATTTGAATTTGACATTGAATTTGAGTTCGAATTTTGATAAACCCTACAATAATTGGATACGTAACTGGCGATTGCAGCAATGAGATGCAACACATGATCAGAATGTCTGTACTATATATCCAATCCGTATATATATATATAGTATATATACTATAAAGTTCTATTAAGTATGGGGTAAAACAGTTCTGTCTATCGGTATTTATCTTTCTTTTTGGTTATTGTATGTACAATAAATTCGTATTACATTTATTTATTGTATATGTGTGAGAAAGTCGTCGATTACGTTGTTTGGTTTTTGGTTTTTGGTTTTGTAAGTTTATTGGTAGGTATTACTCATATACATATGTATAGTACTTATAAGGCAGCTGTTGAAAGCGAATCGTTCAACTGGCTGACCAAATTGTCCTCCGATGAACTCTGTATATATATACTATATAAGTCGGTAGTTATATTTTATTTGTATGCCCTTTACTATATATATATATATATATATTTATATATATAACCGGTACTTGATTATTTATAGTGTATATGTGGTATTCCTTCTATGTGGCCATATAGATGTACATTCAAAAAGTTTTTTTTTTATTTATATTACTTTAGTTTTTTTGTTTTCTGAAACATTTCAACTAGATTCGGTTTATGCGCCACAGCTAACGAGCTGTACAAATTGTTCTATCACAATCGGTACATACAGCTATAGAGCAATTTGTAAATGCATTACGAGTATGTATGTGTACGTATATGTATATATATGCATACATATATACATATAGATATATATAAGAAATTTACCTAACGTATATCGTTTGCTTGGACTATATATGTGTTGTTTTGCTACTGATAACCACGTATTAACATCTTATAGCTAAACATTTACAAAAACACATTACGACAGTTTTTTTTTTTGCACCTTCTTCTACTTCACATTTCACAACTAGATTTGACGAAAATTCAAAACCAAACCAACCATTTTTGAGTATAGCAAAATGTATTATCCAATATGCCAATTCAGCCGTATTCTAGCTAAAAACGGGGATTATATTTTTAGCTAGTTTTTGGCTTTAGAATGACAAGCTTAGCAATTGTTCAACACTGTTTTCTGCTACTCTTTTTTTTTAGAAGCAGCAGCTTACAACACTGTCTCTTATGCTAATTGGTTGAATCCATTTTAATATTCTCAAAACTGGTTGGTTTTAGAATTTTCACTAGTCGCTACGAGTTAGCTTGCCTAAGACCCTAATTGGTCTGAATTATATTTAATAAATAGTACTCCTGACTTTACCATATTGTGTAATCTATGGTCTGAACTATATCTAATAAATAGTACTTCTGACTTTACCATCAATGGAATCAATGGTCTGAATTATATTTAATAAATAGTACTCCTGACTTTTCCATATTGTGGAATCAATGCATTTGAAATCGCACTTAATGGTACCTAGAACTAAATTTTTGATTCTATTCGGAATCGTTGTATGTGTGTCAGTGTATATGTGTGTGTGTTTCTTTTATGTAGAATGCGCTGCACAGCTGAACATTCTGTTAAGGCTATGTTAATTAACATGGCAGTGACGCTTCCTTCTGTCTGCTTTGTGCTGCTTTGTGCAGCGCATTCAAGATTCGGCAATGCCGAAACTTTTCTTCTTTGGGGGAGGTTTTCTTTTGCATTTACATGGCCGACGAGATCTGCTGCGTCTGCTGGTATTGCTGCTGCTGCTGCTGCGGCTGCTGCTGCTGTTGCTGTTGCTGCTGTTGCTGCTGCTGCGGCAGCTGTGGCTGTGGCTGCATTTGCAGCTGCAGCGCCGGCTCCTGCAGCATCTGGGGCGACGGCGAGTATTGCTGCTGCTGCTGCTGCAGATGCAGTTGCTGCTGCTGTTGCAGCAGCTGTTGTTGTTGCTGCAGCTGCACCTGCTGCTGCGCTGCGACGGCTGCAGCCGCATTCTGTTGCGAGGACGCTTCGGATGTTTTCAGGAAATACGTTATCAAGTCGATGGGCAGCGGGAACACAATTGTCGAGTTCTTCTCCGCGGATATGGTGTTAAGTGTCTGGCCATAAAGCAATGCAATATATATATAAGTAAAGTTAAATGGCAGCGGGTTCAATGGCCATGCCTACCTGCAGATAGCGCAGCTGCAGCGCTGCCGGCGAATCGCCAATCACCTCGGATGCCTCGCGCAGCGCACGGGACGCCTTCTGCTCGCCCTCGGCGGCAATCACCTTGGCGCGCGCCTCACGCGCCGCCTCCGCCTCGGCGGCCATCGCGCGCTGCAGTTGCACGGGCAGACGCACATCCTTGCTGTTGTTCGGCGCGCGTCCAGGGAGAGGAAGGAACTTATATTAGCAATTGCACTTACAAAACGCGGCAGGCAGACTCGTGTCGCTGTAAACTGATTCAGAAAATATGCGAGTAGCATGCAACGACTACAATGGCGACCTTTTCGCAATCTATTCCAGCAGGGGGAACCCCACTCGGTGGCTATGTGAATGCCATATTAACTGAAAACTGAAATCTTTCATTGCCAAATGAGACGTATTTTAGGCTCAGCAGCCTTGGTCAGGCGCGAAACATTAAAGGTCATTAGGCTGATGCGTTTTATTCTTCTCTAGGCCATCGTCATGATTAATGTGAGCTCTATTTATACAAATGTTTTTTGAATCGAGCAGATAGCCTAGAGATTTGCCAGTCCCTTTTATAAGTCTGCTGTAGATAAAATGAATATGAGCTACTTTTTGTAGAGCCTTGCAAAGGGTAGTTTATTTATTTTATCACAAAATGTGTTACGCAACGTCTTTGAGCCCAGAGCTTATAGTCTTGTTGAGTATCAATCGAGTAGATGTAGGTTAGTTCGTCTGTCTGCTTCTATGCAAATTAATCTCTTAATATTAAAACTGTCTACTATATCAAAAAGTTCCCCTTTTTGATTCTTTCCTCAAAAATCTAATATATCTGTAAGCTCTTTTTAGATTGGATTCATTAGACTTCTGTAGGCAACATTGTTCAAAAGTAATTATTTTTTCTAAACGCATTTACTAAGCCCCATACCTATTGGACTACAAGGGTATTTGATCTTCGTGCTTTTCCTTCTTTTTGTAAATGTATAAAGTAATTTTAACAATTACAACAATTTAAATGCCAACCAAAAGCTCGTCCATATCGAACTTCTGCCTACAGCTTTTTTACCTATCACATCTTTAAGTGTATTCAATCTTCGGTTTCGCAACAAAAACTTGTCTTGCCTGTTTTTCCATTTTATTCTTTTTTTTCCCACTAAAACCCACAACATTTGCCATAAAATGTCGTTCATATTTTATTGGCCTTGACAAAGAAATTTATCGCCTGATTAATTTCATAAGAATTTTCTTGCCAGACAACAACAGCAACCAAATTGAAGCCTTAGCTAAGACTGTCATAAAAATGTAGCAATTTTCATGGACAGGAGGTGCACAAAAAGCGACAAAAAGGGCGTGGCCGCAGCTAAGCCACAACAGCAAGAAAAATAACAACAACAGGGAATGCGTCAAGTTGTTTTGGCCAGTGCAGCCGCTGGGACATGACCACAGAATGTTGTTGAGGTTGTCATTGTTGTTGTTGTTGCTCCTGTTGTTGTTGCTGTTGTTGTTGTTGTTGTTGCTGCTCTTGTTCGCCATTTTGTTGGTCATGTATTTGACAAGCTGTCAGTCGGTTTAGACCTGCGCCAGCAGCAGCTGTTGACAATTCAGCTATTTTCTAGTTTAATTTGGCTTTAGAATTTGTCGGATGGAAAAAGTTGAAATTTAAACAGAGTTAGCTATTTTTTGGCTGCTCATGGTCAAATCAGCTTTTTCTGGCCATTTCTTAATATTAAATTTAGCTACTACCCCTTTTTAACGACTCGGCAATACTGGTTAGAAGTAGCCAGAGCTGAAGTTGAAGCTGAAGCAATAGCAGTCTCTTCCACTTGACCCCAACTGGGCTTATAACAACTATCTAGGTTTTTTTAAGCACTTCATTCAGCTACTACTTTTTCGTTACTTCCCTCGGCAACACTGGCTAGAAGCTAAAGCCATAGCTGAAGCTGAAGCAGTCTCTTCCACTCTTCCCAACCTCACAATTATCTAGCTATTTGCTAACATTGCATTCAGCTACTACTTTTTTGATACGTCCCTCGGCAACACTGGCCAGGGGCAGCTGTCGCTTAGGCTTTAGCTGGAGCTGGAGCAGCAGCTGGCTCATCCACTTGTCCCAGCGCGGCTAATAATAAATTACAACAACGCAACAACTCTGATGGCAGACAAAGGCCAGGGCAAACCCCCTGCCTCAACAACCGCCCCCCTACCCTTGTTCGGCGTAATAAAAGGCTGCCAACATAATGGCACACCACCTACATTTTGACATAGAAACCTTTATGTGTAAAGGATGTGCGTGTGTGTGTGCGCGTGTGTGTGTGATAGAAAAGTTGCACTACTTACATTTCAACACGTTCAACTTTGATGCCCCAAGCATCGGTGGCTTCGTCGAGCTGAACCTGTTTATGATTTGGCCCACATAACGTTGTGGCAGGTGTGTGTGTGTGTGAGTGTGTGTGTCGAAAATTAATGTAGGTGTATGTGTGTTGAAAATAGCAGTAAAAACACATTAGTTTTGGTTTACACACACATTTTTCATGCTGTTAACTGTGATGGTTTTTGCCTTTCACATTTCTTTGCTTTTTTTTTTTTGGGTGGTTTTTCTTCTTCTTTGTTTTGTGGGTCGTTTGCAGAATCCTTGAAACCGCTAAGCAGAGAAAACTGCAGCAGTTGGCTGCGTCTAACGGCAAAACGAGTTGCCAACTTGGCATTCCTGGCCCATGCTCGACGTGCCGCAGCTGACATGAGTTTCAGCCTGATTTTGAACTATTTTTCATATATGGCCATAAAAACTAAATAAATAAAGCGCACAAATTGCAGCAGAAAATGCTGCGCTAAAGCCGAAGCTGTAGCCAGAAGCTAGAAGCAACGATTTGGGTTAAGTTGGCAGCTGTTTGCCCGTCTGCGCCGATATATGCGATGCTCAGCACAGTGTATACACTGCAAGGAAATTCATGGGTATTGCAATCATAGGAAATGTTTTATTGCCTATTTATATCGTGGAAAAGCTGCTCTACTATAATCTAATTTTCTAATATTTTGGTTATCACAGCTTGACTTTGAATGGAGTTAAATCTCTTTGTATATTTTAAATAATTCATTTCAATTGAGAATCTGTTAATTTGGCTATTCTTCGCTATTTTTCTGATTTTCTAGGTATTATCTAATTCAAGGTGTTTTAAGGTAAATGGATTTGTTAAGAGAACAAATTGTGAAAGTTGCCTGAGAACAGACGGAGAAATAATATTGTCAGTTAGTTTTTCTATATGTTTATTATTTTTGACTGGTAGAAATTGTTTTTCAATTTTATTAATGAGGCGCAGCAAAAATTATGGAAATATTTTTGGAACTGTGGAAAATGTTTTCAATAATTGTAGAAAATATTCTATGATTGAGATTCTTAAATATTTTATACTATAGAAAATTTATTGTGAATAATATATATATTTATATATTTTCTATGATCAGGAATCTTATCTATTTTAAATAATATAAACCTTTATATAATATAATTTATAGATTTTATATAACACCATATAAAACATATAAGAATCTTAATAATAGAAAATGATTCATATTTATATTATATTATATTTTCTTATATAAAATATATATAAAAATCTCAGTAATAGATATTTAATATTCTTTGCTGATTTGTCTCTACTAAAACAAATTTTAGGTTTCAAATAGATTTTTTCCTTTCTAGTAAATTTTGGCACTCACGTTTCTTGTTAAGCAAAAACTTTCGAAATGGAAAAGCTTATAAAACCTACAGAAAATTCGATGCCTAATGTAGAAAATGTTCTATGATTGCAAAAGAAAAGAATTTCTCTGTGTTGTAGAAATGAGCTACGAAATGCCTTTGAAGAAAATTTTCAAATGTCGTGAAGTTTTCTTTAACAGCAGAAATTGCCTTTTTCTGTATATTATTTATTCTGAGTGTAGAGCACGTTTTGATTTGCAACTATGAAAGATGTTGCTGGCCAGGCTTTATTTTATTCCTTTATCATTTTGGCAGCTGCTGCAAATTTGCAATTAGCAATTATTATTTAGCATTCCAGTTGCGTGCACAAAAGTCTTAAAGTCGCTGAATAATTAGCAGCAGCAGCAGCAGCAGCGGCCTCCTTTGTGGCAAGTGGCAGGTGGCAGGTGGCACATAAGTCAATTACGTGCTAAACGGGGCAAAGGGCTGGTCTGGGCTGGTCTGGACTGGTCTGGTCGGGGGCTGCGGGGTTAACTGCAATTGTTACACTCACCTGCATGGTGCCGGAAATCGTCATACGCTCGCTGAGTATCTCATGCAAATGCCGAGTTCCCATTGTGTTTCGTAGAGTAGTCTGTGCCAGTAGTCTGGTCGAATGGTGAGCATTCTCCACGTTCGCTATAGAGACGGTTGCATTTGATACGCGATAGTAAACCACTGCATCCACCGAAACCGTAACGCTATCCTTTGTGAGAACCTACAAGATGCAGTGGGTGGGATTGTTTTTTTTTTCTATTTTTGTTGTTTTCTTTATTTTCTTTTTGCTTGTCTCTATTTGCGTGCTTTCTTTCGCTTATTATTATTTTTATTGTTTTTCTTTTGTTGCTCTATTGTTGCTTTGCTTTTTGTTTGTTATTCTTTTATTTAGATTATGCTTGTTATTGCTGTCATACATAAGCACAAAGCTGCGACTACACAAGTGTGTGTGTGTGTGTGTCTTAGTTTTCTATACCCTTGCAGCGAGTATTAACAGTTTGCCAGGATATATGTAATCTACTTAAGGAGATATCTTCAAATATATCGGACAAGTATATCACATAACTCATAGAGGAATACTCGAACGACATCAGGTAGGAAGCAAACCTTTTTTGTTATTCTAAATATTCCTCCAGCTCTTTGCAAAACCAAGCTTCATTGTGCTTCGAACAATCAAAGATATTTCAATATCGTACTACAATTTCATGTGCGAAATAGTCTAAGAACTTTTTATATATTCCTCTTTGAAATTTTGTTTGCACATTTATATTTAGACTCATCTTTCATTATTTAGTTTGCAAATCGATCGAAGGCAAAAACTTTCATGCAACCTTTTTCCATTTATTTTTGACAGTTGCGGATGGAATTTCTAAATTAACTAAATCTCGTATTCACTATGGAAATAAGTTTGAAAGCCATCGAAACTTTCAACCATAAAATCGTTGACCCACTTTCTCGATACATGATTTATGGAAATGGGGAAAACACGTTTCCAAATAAAAGTTTCACACACATCTTGGTAAGTGAATTTAAGGCGGAGCGGCAGGTAAGCTAAAAAGTTTATTGTTACTATTTTCCCCGAATTTCCCGAATTGTTATATGAAAATAATAGGAAAAAGCCCCCATAAAATGTATAGTAAGAGGATAAGTGACTTCTCACTATTATATAATTGCATAAGAGACGTCGATCGATTATAGGGCAAAAGAACAAAGACAAAATACTGAAGTCTCACTCAGTTATTTTAGCAGCAGATCCCATTCATGTAAAGTATTCTGTTAAGCCTTATGTTAAGCATTCTGTTAGGCCTTAAGTTAAGCCTTTTGTTAAGCAGAAGTGTTACAAAGAAGCGTCAGTTTGTTACAATCAGTGATTGTATACAGATAACTTAGAGACTTAAAAGCGAACCAATCCTGAATCGTTGTCATAAATATTTTATAAGCCTGAATTATCCTATCAGAGTATGTCTGTGTCTGCAAGGGTATGTAGTCTTCGGTGCGCCGAAGCAGACTCTTTGTGCTTGTTCGTTGTAGTTGTATCTTTATATTTATCTGTGCTTGGCTTGTATCTTGCATCTAGATGAATAATTTAGTGGCTGCTGCTGCTGCTGCTGTGCACTTTTGCTTAGAATGGCATAATGCACACGGTATGCACTTGACTGGAGCGTCTTCAGCTGGCGCTGCACTTGGACGTGATTGTGGTCTTTTCTTTAGTTGGACTAAGTGCAAAGTGCAAACTTTGACGCCAGACAGAGACGCAAGCACACACACACACAGTGAGAGCGAGAGAGACAGAGAGAGAGAGACTATACAATATGCTCGACAGACGAAGCGAAAATCGTGGCTTTTATTTTGATTATTGCTTTGACTTGTGTGTGAGTGTGTGTGTGTGAGTGTGTGTGTGTGAGTGTGTGTTAAGTGTGTGTGTGCTATGCAGAAAGCCATTTTGTATTGTTTTGCTTATTGCATTTAGCATTTGAAGCTTTAGATTTTGGCTTAAGTGAAGCGCTTTGTGCTGGACAAGATACAAGATACTTATTTGTACTTTAAGCAATTTCTTTTTGTGACATTTATTTTGTTTATTTTCGTGATATGAGCTCGATAGCGATACGTGGAGCAAACTCAAGAGTTTTGAAGTTACAGTGTATAAGATATAGGTATGGTTATTGCACAAAATCAAATCGTATATATCTATATATATATGTCGTCTATATATTACATACTTATATACTTGTTTATATACAAAACGTGGCAAATGAAGAGGCAGACAAAACGACAAAATTAACGTAAAAATAAACCAAAATGCGTTAAATTGTTATTTGAAATGTTTACAGATATTACGCACAAGAGACAGAGACAGAGAACGATAGAGAGAAAGAGAGAGAGAGAGAGAGAGAGAGTGGGAGTGGGCGGAGGGAGCGATAGCGAAATGTTTTCTTTTGTACATGTATTTGGGTCCTTTATTCCTTACGGCTACCATCTCACTCAGCCCAAGCTGTCGTTGCCCGAAATCAAATTCCTCTATTTTGATGCCCTGCCCCCGAAAAGGCGAAACCCCAACTGGGGACTCAAACTGAAAGCTGAAAGCATCAAAACTATTTGCACAAAAGTTTTGCTTTTGCGTTTTGGCCAGCGCACAAGTTGAAGCATTTTACGAGCCGGCTACATTTCGGGCCAATTCAGTTTTTTGTGGGGCGGTCTAGACTTTTTCTTTTGCTTTTTTTATGGCACACTCTGGGCCGGGTGTCAATGTTGTTTAGTGTCGTTTGGCGGCCGATGCTCAAGAGTTTTTATTTAACTTCTTTTGCGGCCAAACAAATTTCGAATATTAGCATAAAAATCAACTGGAACATGAGCGAAACTTGCGAACTTTCCAATGCTCAACTGGGCGTATACTTAATTTAATATAAAGCAGGCGAACGATTCTTAAAGTTTGCCATTTGCAGGTAGTTTATATAAATTGAGCATAGAAGGGGTCTTATGTTTTCTTAATTAAGCAGGTAACAGAAGAAGAAGTACATCCGACTATAAGGTATATACATATGTTCTTGATTAGGACGATCTGGATCTAGATATGTCCGTCTGTTCGCTCGGAGACAACAAAAAATATAGATTTGAGATTGGTTATAGTCAAATATTTTCATATATACTCAAACGAGCTTATAATTTGTTCGATATCTGCTCAAATTTTCATAATATCGATAAATATCGATTTAGCGACATGGTTTTTTAGGCATAACTCGAAGACTATAAGAGCTAAATACACCAAACTTGTTATAATATAAACAGATCACAAATATTTCATTTTTGAATACCTATTTACCTCCTATTTACCATTTCTGAAGATGGAGCCTTGCGCTTTGGCATATACAGACACTTTACTGTGTTACGTTTTAGGCCTGCAAATTTGATTAATATCGGACTGTAAACATCCAAGTTAATCAGGAACGTATTTCTTATAGAGTGTGCCCAAGGGATGAAGAAGGGATTTTCTGCATAGTTGTATTTTGTATATTTTTCAGCCGCAGCTCGGCGCTAGATTCGTGGTATGTGCTAGTCGGACACTTCAGACTAAAGCACTCTTACCTGGCCCTATAAAAGCTGCTTTATAAATTGGCTAACAATTTGTTGAACAAGGTCTGCTTAGTTGAGTTGAGGTTAATTTGTTTAGCTGGCGCTTAAGTTCTTTAAATTTGATTTGCATTCAGTTGAGTTTTTCAAATGGGGCCGCAAAGTGCGCCAAAGTGGGCAAAAAGCGTTGTCTATTCAGTTCTCTAAATCTAAATCAATTTTCAAGAACAATGGCTTAAAATTCGAACAATAGTCGACTGTGTTCAACGTGTTCAGTGTGTGTGTGCGACTTTGTGTGTGTGTGTATGTGTGTGGGATAGTAGGTGGAATAAATTGGCTGTGAACTGTTGAAATTGCAAAGGTGAGTGTGTGTGTGTGTGTGTGTGCGTGTGTGTGTGTGTGTGTGTGGCATGTAGCTTAAATAAGAGAACAATGGAATATAATCGAACAATAGAAGAAATCATAAATTCTTTTTAAATTAATAATTTAATAGTATGAAATAAATCGCTGGTAAATCGCAAACAAATAGATTTTTAACAATTTTCATACATATTTGTTTATACACTGTAACAGCTAAACTAATGAGCTTCGAAATTGTATATATATATAGAAAGATATATATAACTGTATAATCATTTATCATTTATTACAATTTGCACAGTTTGGCCGTTAGAACTTCCGATTTTCAATTCGATTCGATTCGATTTCGATTTTCTAGTTTATTTTTGATATATATTCAAATTCAAATGTAAATCATATTTTAACTGAAAAATAGATATAGCTAGACTGGATGCACTGACTATAGCTTTGGCATATATATATATATATTGATTGATTGAGTGAGAGAGAGAGATAGATAGAGATAGAGATAGCAATAGTGTTGAGTTAGAGAGTGGGAAGAAGTGGGTAGGGCGCTGGTTCGATGCAGCGAAGTACGCCAACTAATTGCTGTATATTTATATGCATATGCTATAAGATTTGTATATATATATATATATATATAGATATATATGCTAGTTGAGTACAGGCTCTACGCTTTATGCTGGGGGTTGGACTTGCTCTAGCTAAGCCCGGGCGGGCGGGCGGCGGCGGCGACGGCAGCTTCTCGTTTTTCATGCGTGCGAAATTGTTTATTCTTTTGGTTTCTCTTCGATTTGGTTTATTTATTGATAGTTGTTCGATTTAAGTTAGGTGTACCCACATTTAAACAGCCTAAACCACGCAAAACACACATAGATGAACTCGACATGGATTGCTTGCTTGATATATATACATATAATTGTATTGGTCGGCATATATGGCTATATATATATTCGGATGATATATACATACATAATTATTATTATGTATATGTATATATACATATATATAGATATATATGCTAATTCATGATCATTATTGTTGGGGTGCGTACGTTATAGCGTCCTTCGCTAGTGCTCGAACAGATCAAATGTTAACGGTTATTTAGTTAGTGGTAAGTACAATATACGAATATAATTCTTATGTTTGTCGAAACTAAAGCAATGTATATACGTGTGTGTTCGTGTGTGTGTGTGTGTGTGAGTCGAGAACTAAACTAAAACTGTACACATCAAATGTGGAATGTTTAATTTCGAGTCGTTTACGTTATGATTTGTACTTGTACTTAATTTTAAGCCAACAACATGTGTGTGAGTGTGTGTTTGTATGCGTGTGTGTGTGTTTAAGAACTTGTCTTTTTGTTTTATATTTTTGATTTTTGATTTTTGTTTTCGGTTTTATTTTGGTTTTAGTTTTGACAGTTAGAAAGCTTTTTTAGAATAGACATTTATGGAAATATATATATATTTAGCATGCTCTCAAAAATTATTCGAACGCTTAATCGAAGGATCGGGTGAGAGGGGGGGGGGGGGTGTATCAAAAATTAAGTGCATTTTGTTTTGATTTTGTGTAAATATATATTTTTTTGCTTGTCTTCGGAGAGGTTAGTTTTTTTTTTTGGTTTTTGTTGGGGTTGATCAAAAACAATTGTTTCGCTAAACAAAACTAACATAGCTCAAAACGAAAATCGGTACATACATATATATATATAGAGGTATATATAGAGTAAGAGATACAGAGCGTGGGTTAGATAGACAGAGAGAGAGAAAGAGAGAGAGAGAAAGATACAGAGAGAGAGAGAGATTTAGATAAAGCTAAGCAGTTTGTAGAGCTGCTTAGCATAAGTTCGAGCGGGCGAGTGAGCAAGACAGAGTTAGAGAGAGAGAGAGAGAGAAAGAGAGATAGATAGAGAGAGAGAGAGTGGAGAGTGAGGGAGATAGACAGCTTGGGTTGATGAGGACAGCTTTGTGTGTGCATTCAAGTGGTTTAAGGTATTTGAACACTGCGATTTCTTTCAGTGTGTGTTTGGCCAGCCTTCTGTTGCATACTTTTCAGCTGCACAGGAACCAAGCTATGTGGCCATAGGTATGTGTCTGTCTAGGGAACTGTGTGTGTGCGTGTGTGCGTGTGTGTGTGTGTGTGTGCGGGTGGAACATTGAGTGTATACCCTGTGTTCAGTGAACAACCATTTCACATACATTTTCAGTTTCAGCCAATTTTTCTTTATACTTTTTTCCTTTGGTTTGTGTTAAGGTTCTTTGTTTTTTTTTTGATTTTCGATTTGCCACGCCCCCTGGCCCCCGCCCACCAATTAGCTGAGGTCTGTACAGTGTGCATTAAGTGCTCGGCTGAACACAGAGAATCAGTTTCAGTTGATATGCTTAGCATTTGCCTTTTTTTTTGTTGGTTTGTTTTTTTTCATATTTGGTTGGGTTGCTGCGTTTCTAATTGCAAAACACAATCAGATGTTTTCAACTATGCAAATTGTAATAAGTTGAAGTTAAAGACACCAAACAACTAACTAAAGACTTTACATAAATGATAGATGAATACGACACGATATCATTTCGTATGCACTTTCCACACAACAACAACAACATCAACAACAACAACAAGATGACGCTTATGGTTAAAAAATAAAAAGAAATGTATATAAAGGGAGTAAAAGGTTCAGCTCAACGACTGCCGAGGGCATTGCCGCAGTGTCCTTCATGCGTTTTACACAAAAAATAAGAGAGAGAGAGAGAGAGAGAGAGAGAGAGAGAGAGAAAAAAAGCGGAGAAACCCAAAAGTCAACTGAACTGAATCCGAAATAAAAAACGAACCGAAATGAGAATAAAATTGCAAATGTTGGCGGAAGCTGTAAATGTGCAAAGTTGGGCTAAAGGAAAGGGAGTTACTGGTCGGAAGTGCCAGACTAGAAGATACCCTGCCATGAGCTGCCTTCACAATCTTACAAGTTACCTGTGCTTCTTCTTGCCTCAGCCCTACAATATAGTAAAATGTATTCTTGAGTATCTTCGGTCTTTATTGTCCGATCGTTATAAAGTTTTTCACCCGTAAATATGCCATACAAAAGTGTGTATAAATCAAAGCGCAATGCTTATTTTTTAATAAGAATATATTTTTTCACCTTTGTCTCTTACTGGGGCAGGTATCTCAGAAGTGAACTATTCTTAGTCTGCATATAATTTACAAAACCGTGCATAGCAAGTTTGTTGTAGTTACTTTGCATAATACTCGAGTACTTTGAAAACCATGTCTCGAAACCGATATTGATCGATATTATAAAAAAGGTTGACTGAAGATATCGGAAAGCTATAGATTTTGTTGTTTGCGAGACATACGGACAGACAGATAGACATGGCCCTATCGACTTCTGCCTGTTACATACAGTTGATTTCATCCATTATACCCCTTTTGGCTATTTGCAATGTGTTCAGGGCATCATAAAAATAAAGCTATATAGGTTATGGAGCTTACGGATGGCAGCGAGAATGCAGCAATTGTGTGTTTGCTCCACGTGACGTCATCATTTAATATGCTTGCCTGTCTCTCTTTATTTCATTCTGTTGTTTTAGTTGTTGCACTTAAATGTACTTATGGATATGAGCTCGATATGATAAAAGCTAATAAATAAAAGGGGCACGACAAATGCACTAGAAAAATGAAGTTAAAAAAAGTTAATATAAATAGAACGCGCTTTTGTTTTGAAGTATTGTTGGTGTGTGTGCGGGTGTGTGTGTGCGAGTGTGTGTGTGTGTGATGGTCTAGTGCACACCAATGACAATTATGATAATAATTAAATATTTTGTAGGACAATAAGTGCCATACATATATGTAACATTTGAAACATATAACAAATACAACAAGACTACATTAGAGTTTCGCTGTGTGTGTGTGTGTGTGTGTGTGTGTGTAACGTAACAAAATGCAAAAGGAAAGTGAGCAAATGCAAAAAAAGAAGAAAAAACTCTGCAGCCGCTGCTGCTTCTTGCCAGTTTTTCTTGTTGTTGCTGTGTGTGTGTGTGTGCTTGGAAAAGTATCTAAGCTGTTTGTGAAAAGTTAAAGACAGAGAAGTGGGCAGCGAGATAGAGAAAGAGAGAGCGAGATAGAGTGAAGCAGCAGAAGAAGGAAACACAGTTACGCAGGAAAACGCAAAAAGAAAAGCAAACTGAAATATAAGCCAAAGTAAACAGCGTGACATGCGACGACAACAAGAAAAACAACAATAACAAGAACAACAGCACACGGAAAAGAAAATACACACATTCACACACGCACACACACACACATACGCATACAGAGTAAGGCAAAAGGAAACGAAACGAAGGCAAAGTAAACGTTGCGTATGCGTAATTTACGCTCCAGTTGCGTGTCCTGCGTGTGTGTGTGTGTGTGTGTGTGTGTGTTAGTCTAACTGTAATTGTAGCTGTGTGTGTGTGTGTGCGTGTGTTTGTGCATTTGGGGCCAACACAAAATCAAAATTGTTGTTTAACAAAATTTGTGTGGCAAAAGCTAAAAAAGTTTGTTATATTTTAAGTTTTTCACTTTTTACTGAGCAGCATTTAAATGGTCAAGTGTTAGCTTGACACGCGAGTCTGTGTGTGTGTGTCTGAATTTGTGTGTATGTGTGTGTGTGAGTTTGTGTGTGAATTAACAAAAAGCAGCTTACCTCCTGCGGTGGCACATCGTAGGTGCGAGTACGCAAATCCACGCGTGCATACGAGTCAATGCAGGGCAGAATGAAGAAAATGCCTGCGAATAGAGCACGGAAAGAGAGAGAGAGAGAGAGAGCGCATAGGGAGCGGATTGTAGAGTATTTAAGCAGCTGGTGTTTGTCAAACTAATCTGCCGAGTGTGACGCCAGCAGCAGCTGCCACTCGACGCGGTGTGGCCCCCAAAAAGTTGGCGCTAATTTGGAGCAAGTGCAGCCTATTAACACGAATTCTTGTCGCCAGTCGGCACTTGAATTTGCATAGCCAAGCCCAACACACCCTGTGCCCCTTCGGTTACTCACCTGGACCCTTGGCGCCGCCCTGCATAAGGCGGCCGAGCCGAAAGATAACCGCGCGCTCGTACTCCTGCACCACCTGTAAAATACGAGAGGAGGCAGGAGGCGAAGGGGCGAGAGATACAGAAAGAGAGAAATATGAATAAAATGTGAGAAGTGGCCAAAACTGCAGCTGCAGTTGGTCTGCATAAAATATTCATTCTTTAGTATGCTCCTGAATTCTTAAATAATAATTTATCTATATAGCTCAGTAGTAGTACAATTTATAAGTTTGAATTCATTGAAATTGTTAATCATTTAATAGAAAGTCAGTCAATCTATCCTATCTAGGGGTAGGTCAATCTTCAGTCTGTCCGTCAGTCAGTCAACCAGTCATTCAGCCTGTCAATCAGACCGTCATTTATCCAATCAGAAGGTCACTCAAACAATCCGTCAATCAATCAGTCCGTCAGTCAGTACGTGAGACAGTCAGTCCGTCAATTGGTCATTCAACGAGTCCCTTAATCAGTCGGATGGTCAATCAGTCAGTCTGTCCGTTAGCCAGTCATTCAGTCTGCCGGCCAGTAAGTCAGTAAAATAGTCCACCAATCAGTGAGTTCTTTAGTCAACCAGCTAGTAAGTCAGTCACTCGGTAAATCAGTCACTCCGTGATTCCATCAGTCAATTACTTATTCAGCGAGTCCGCCACTCAGTCCGTCACCCAGCCCAGCCAGTCAGTCAGTCATTCACCCAGTCAGTCCGTCTATCAATCAGTCATACAGTCTGTAAGTCAGTCTGTTCGTCAGGCAGTCATTGGGTCAATCAGTCGTTCAGTCAGTCAGTCATTCATCCAGTCAGTCAGTAAGTCCGTCATGTATTCGGTCAGTGAGAATGTCAATCAGACAGTCCGTCAGTCAATCATTCAGTCAGTGAGTCAGTCAATGAGTAAGCCAACCCGTCAGTCTGTCAATCAGTAAGTCAATCAGTCCGTGAGTCAACTAGTCAATCCTGAAAAACAGTTTTGTAAGTCAGTCCATCAGTCTGTCAATCAGTCCGTCAGAAGATCAATCACACTGTTCGTCAGTCAGTCAGTCATTCAGACTTTCAGTCAGTAAATCAATCAGTCAATAAGTCAATCAATCCGTGAGTCAGTCATTCAATCGGATAGTCAACGAGTCAGTTTATTAGTAAATACAGAAAACTAATTTTGCAAGTCAGTCCATCAATCTGTCAATCAGTCAGTGCGTATTCAAACAGTCAATCAGTGAGCTAGCTTTTTTACTGAAGAATCAAACAAGTCAAATGGTTTTTCTATAAATAAATGTTATACATGCGAATGATATGCAAACTCGAGCATGACTTTGGTTTTTGATTGATGGGCTTACCTTGAAGCACACAAATAGACTGAAGGGCAGCGTCATTATCACAAGTGCCACGGATAGAAAAATGAGCAATTTGCCGCATGTTGAGGCCTTGTCGCTGATATCCTCGTCCGCTGCGGAAAAGAGTGTGGCAAGAAAATGGAAAATTATAGCGCAAAGTGGCAGCAACTGTACACAAGACTCGAGAGAGCGAGAAAGCAAATATGCTGCAAATTGAGTTTAAGTTAAAACACAAACACACACACACAAACACACACAAAATATATATATTTAAGTAAATTTATATTTTAGCTATATATTTGTATATATATGTATATATCGAACGCACCGCGCGACGGACTAGGAGAAAAATCCAAATTTGAAAAATGAACAGAAAAAAACATGTCGCTCGCTTAGCCAAAAAAAAATGTTTTTCAGTTTTTTGCTGGCGGCAACAAGTCGCCCATTTTCGGCGGCCAAGTTTATCCCGCGAGAGAGTCAAAAAAATAGTGTTACGCTAGGGCACTTTAAAAAACACCAAGAAATAAAAAGAGAGAGAAAAAAACTGTAGCATACTTAAGAGCGCGCGAGAGTTGGCCATAAACAAGAAGAGGAAAAGATAAAAAAAGTAGCTGATAGAGAAATAATCGTAGATTATAAAAAAGTTAAGCATTAGTTCTGTGTAGACTGTGTGTGTTGTTTTTGTTGTTGTTGTTGTTGTTGTTGTTGGGGATGTGGGAATTAATGTTTCTTTTCAGTTTTAGTATCTGTTTTTTTTCTTTGGTTTCTGCTTTTTCTTTATTTGTTTTTTTCCAAATTAGTGCGACTTACAATAGAGAAATCCATGTGAATGTTTTGCTTGTGTATCTGCAAGAATACGATAAATCAAACGATTGTAAAAATTAATAGGACTTGAGGATGGGCGGGGGGCACGCTTCGTACTATTTTCTGTATTCTAGTTTTATTTTGATTTCAATTTTGATTTTGATTTCGATTTTGATTTCAATTTTGATTTTGATTTCTTTTTCGGGAGCCGTGTTTGCTGCATGCAAAAGCCACTAATTAGCTAATCAGAACTAAAAGCTAAAGTGAGTTTCAAATTATAAATGTTGCATGCCATGCATTTAAATGCCATGCTGCGTGTTGCAGTTGTTGTTTGCCGTTTGCAGTTTGTCTTGTGGTTTTTTCTCTTTTTGCCAGCTTTTCAGTTTCAATTACAGTTCATTGAGAACTTGCAACAATGCCAACGCTCAACGTCAGCAAAGTGTTGTTAACGAGCCTTCCCTTCCTCTCTCTCTCTCCCTCTCTCTCGCTTTTGGAACTTGCGGAAAAGCTGGAAAATAGCTGAAAGTCTCGCTGGCAACTTTGATGGGTATTTGTGTGGTACCTTTAGTGGCACGTTAAGCCAACAAGCTGTTAAACATTTGCCCAGCGCCCCAGGACCAACTTTTATTGAAATTGATTTCGAAATAATTGCAATGGCGTTGACGTCGATTTGAATGCTGCGGATGTGCGGATGCGGGTGCGGAAGTGGGCGGCGGGGCGTGGCTTACTGACAAACGAAGGTCTACCCGATTTGTATATGCATGTCTTTCTGTGTGTGTGTGTGTGTGTGTGTGTGTGTGGTAATAGATTTATGGCCAAATAGCTAACTTTAAAAATAGACCAGCATCAAAATGTAATTAGTGGGAATGGGCTACATGAGCTGCGGCTTAGCCCCTGCAGCTCGAGTCGTTTTAAAGTTTTTAATACTCTATGCCAAAGAGTGCAAAAAAGGTTTTGTGCAGTTCAGTTTTTTTGCCTGTCGGATTTGTCCGAGCTCCTTAAGTAAAGTTCGAAACTTAGTTTAAATTATATCCCTGTCTTGATGTTTTTCTCAATCATTTTGGCTCTCTCTCTCTTAATGGTTAGTCTGTATCCAGGGTAAGCTAACCCTAACTACCTTATTGATAAAGTATCTTATGAAACGAATATAATACGAATATAAAATGGCTGTAGAGCTGCAAATTGGATTGATTTATATGCATGTGACAGGCAGCCGAAAGCGTCAACGAACCAAGTTCGAAAAGTTGAAAAGAAACTTTAAATTTGCATATTTATATATTCGCGTATTCCATTAGCAGAAGGATTTAATCTTTTTTTGTTTCGATATTTTTCTCTTTTTTCCGTTCGTTGATAAATGAAGCCAAAGGCTTTTTAATGGCTATACCCTGCTTTTAGCGCGGTATTGAGCATTATTTAGCTTCAAAGTCTTAGGAGCTCCAAAAAATCCTATCAGACTTGGAATATTTTCCCCGATTTCCTATTAGACCTGGTATGTTTTCATCCATTTCCTTTTAGACTTGGTATGTTTTCTTCAATTTCCAATTAGACTTGGTTTATTTTCTCCCATTTCCTTAATAACGATAAATTTGGATTTTGAGACATGTTTTCTGGAGCATAACTCGAAAATCATAAGAGCTGCATGCCTCAAACTTGGCATGAAGATTCTTTTATGGCACACACATATTTAAAATATTTAAAATTTTCGATAATTTCTCATATTTACCCGCAAATTTGAAGAAAAGCCCATTTCTATAGATACACACAATTGGGCGTCACTTTTCAAGCCCAGAAAATTTCATTAAAAACCCGAAGTTAATCAAGAGAACTTTCACCCAAAAGAAAGTCTGGTGCAAAAGGAAGAAGAAGCACACGTTTTTTTTGTTATTTTAATTTTAGCTGCACGAATTGAAGACGTCATCTCAATGTTTTTTTCTATATTTAGCATCAATTTAATCGCAGCTCCATCAAATGAGATAAAAGTTGGCGTTGATTTGAATTCTTTAATAAAATTTCGTTTCGCTTAATTCTCGCTGGCAGCGCAAACAGCGTGTGGTCATAATGTTTTAATGACCGCACCGAGCTAGCCGGAGGCTGTCATTCCCTACCCCCCCCCCCCCTCCCACTCCCCCTCCCCCTTTTAGACCACCCCCGCTCAGTGTGAACGCATACGTCATAGCAGCAGCAGCAGCAGCAGCCCCTGGCAAAAAGCTTTGCGCTCGAAAATGGGTCACGTTGTTGTTGTTGTTGTTGTTGTTGTTGCTGTCATTTTTGTTGCTGCTGCTGAAGTTGTTGTTGTTGTTGTTGCTGCTGTTGGTGTTGCTGTTGTCTGTGTGTGTGTATATTTCAGGCACTCTGATTGAATTTTGCATGCAAAATGCGTGCATGCTTTTGAGGCAGCCAAAAATGTTGGGACCAGGCTTAAGCTGGCAGCCCTTTTGTCCGCCTAATGAAGCGATTAGCGTGCATATGAGATGAGAGATTACACACACACACACACAAAGGCTCACACACACAAGCATACACGCATTAGCATATTTCAGGTCTAGTTTATTAGATTGCCAAAAAAGAAAAAGGAATATAACAAAAATTGTTCAGAAAAGTAAAAGCAAATATCAACAATTTTGTTCAGCACACACACGCAGGAAAAACATAAGATACACACCCACACACACACACAGTCAGTTTTTCTGTTTTACTTCATTTTTCTTTTTATATTATTATTTTTGATCAGTTGGCAGCCAAATTGCATCAATAAATGATGAGCCTGTTGAGCGATGCGATGCGATGCCAGCAAAAATGATTTGAGTGAAGCGCTTGCTAATGAAAATTGCCATGAAAATTGCCAAGAAAATTACCATAGCGAAAAAGATGGGAAAGCAGCGCTCAAAAATTGTGTGTAGCATACTTTTTGGGGCGGGGGCTCAGCCGCGCAACAAGTTCAAGAAAAAAATGCATTTACAACAAAGAAAAAAAGAAAAGCCAGCAAACAGCCACGCAGCATCATTTCAATAATTTATATACACAATTTATAATTTATATATATATGTGTGTCTATATGTATGTATGCATGTATGTATGTGTGTGTGTGTATGTACAGGCAATTTCGCGGCATTTCGTAGGCTGCAGACTCACCTCGTCGCTGCTCGGCTCGATGTATGGCCTGCTGCTGATGCGACTGCTGCATCAACGCATGATGACTGTGCGGCAGCGCCAGCTGCTGCTGCTGCTGCAGTTGTTGTTGCTGCTGCTGATTAAGTTGTTGTTGCTGTTGTTGTTGCTGCTGCTGCTGCTGATTGAGTTGCTGTTGGTGCTGCTGCTGCTGCTGTTCCTGCTGCTGCTGCTGATGCTGCTCGGGGTGCTGCTGCTGATGCTCCAGCTGCTGTTGCTGCTGCTGCTGCTGCAGCAGGTTGCGCTGATGCTGCACTTGTTGGTGATGCTCGCGTGTATTTAATTGCGGTCGCGTCGACTGCGGCGGCGGCAAGATGGGCTGCTGCTGCTGCTGCTGTTGTTGGGGCAGCTGATGGTGCTGCATGCTTGGTGTTCCCGTTATGGGCAGTTGATGGTCCCGTTCACGTTCCCGATCCCGTTCCCGCTGCTCGCTGATTGTTGCTGGTCCTTCTGCCCCCGCCGCTGCTGCTGTTGGCGCTGGCGCTGGCGTTGCAAAGGTGCTCGTGCTGCTTGCCGCAATCACACGCTGCTGCGGCTGATGATGCCGATGCAGCTGATGATCCCGATGCTCCATATCCATCATCGAGTCGGGCATCAAGCCGCGCTCACAAAACGACGCCAGTGCGGCGGCTGTGGCAGGCGTCTCTGCTGCGTCAATCAGTGCGCTATCTTCGAGCAGGTGCTAGCCCCGCTCCTGCTCTCTTTTTACTGTGGCACGTCTTACTTTTTGGCCAGTCTTTGTCTTCGTCTGAGTCTTAGTTGGAGCTGCTTTTGCAGTTGCATGGCCAGCAGCGGCTTGTCGTAGAGAGCAGCAGCCTTTGCAAATGCATCGCACGCACTTTTCCACACACACACACACACTTTTCCTTCACAGCAGCAGTCGCGGCACACACACACACACTAATACATTGTCACTTGCTGTATGTATATGTGTTTCACACACTACTCTGAGCTAGTTTCCTTAGCACACACACACACACTCACACACACACACTCCTTTCCATCCAGGCTTGGTTTGTATTTCTTTTCTTCCTTTCTTCCTTTTTTTTTCCTTTTTCCTTTTTTGCTGTTGCCGCTGCCTCGCTCAGAATCCAACTGAAAGTGCGCCGCCAGCGCGCATCCTTTTATAGGCAGCAGCCGAAGCAGAGCTTTGCGTGAGAGAGCAAAAACTTTGTTATCATCGGAGCAGCGCAGCAGTAGAGTTGGAGGCGGGGCCGTCGCCTTTTCTCTGCGTTTGCAAATGGCAAATGATCAAAGAGCTTTTTTCGCTGCAGCTGCTGCAGCAGCAGTCGCATCTCTGCTGCTGCTGCTGCTGCTGCTGCTGCTGCTGCTGCTCGCCCCTTCCAGCTTCGTTGCCTTTTCCAGCTTGCACTGACCTTGCGCATTGTGCGACATGTTGGCTTTTTCCCTGGCCCGAACTTCAGGAATAAAGCTCTTCTCGAGCTTTCAAGCAGGGGCAATGCCCAACTGCGAGAGAGAGACAGAGAGAGAGAGCGCGGCTGAGCGAATGCGAGTTGGCAGCGAGTTTTTAGCACAGTGTACTAAAAAAAAAAAATGACTGTCCGCTTCGATGCTGTGCACAGGTGACAAAACTGAATAACCGACACTTGCCACACGCTGTTGCTGATTTCCATTGTCGTGGAATGGCCTGTCAGTCAGGCGAGCGTCGCTTTTCAATTTTCGCAAAAAACCCATTTTGTATTTGTTTACCGGCACTGAATGATATGAGTACCTGTCCCATTATGCGTCTTTCAATTGCTGACAAGTGTAGGAGGCGGCGGGGGGGGGGGTCTCTACAGACATTCTAATGAACTGCTGCTCGAACGCTTGTCGAACTGTCGCACATTTGGGTCACAGCCGGGCCTCAGCTTTGCCTTTGAGCCGTCAATTACCATTTACGCTTCATTAAATGCCACGCGCACTCTCTTGCCACATGCAACCGGGCCAAGTATCGATACCCGAAAGAGACACCCCACTCCGATTGCCAACTAGGCGGCACCACGGTGCGTATGAGTGACATTTATGCATACACAAAGCGCCACTTGAGGCCCACTTCAATCCAGCTCGAAGCACAGCTGGCACGCACAGTTAATTAATCTTTTGGCATTTGATTAATGTGCGAATTGATTTGGGTATCAACTCGCCTCGCCGACAAATGGCCGAATACAACAACAGCAACAGCAACAACAAATAAAAAGTTCGCATTAGCTGATTTACTTGTTCAGACAAGCTGCAACAATTCCCATGCCCACGCCTTTAAGGCGTGGCCTTTAAGTCTTTAAGCCGCATAGACAAGAGCTCGTAAATTCCTAGCCATTTTTTTTTTTTTTATGGACAAACACTTTGCGTATCGACAACATTTCAGTTAACTGACGGGCTCCAGAACGTGCCCCACAACCACAACCAAATCAAAATCGAAAGCCACAAAACCATAAACTGATTTCTGGCTCAAATGATGCTGCGCCAACTGGCAAAAGCGAGAGTCGAAGGTTGCCACAAATGTTGAGGCAGCTGCAACATGGCCGGAAACGGAGATAGCGGAGAGAACGGAGAGGCAATGACAATGAGCAAGGGATAACACAGCAGCAGCAGCAAGCAGAGCTGGGCATTTAAGAAATGCCACAAAATAGGAGAACAGAAAATAAAAGAAATTCAGGCTAGAAAAGAAATTCAGGCGGGAAGAGAAATTCTGCAGGATGTCCAAGATTTAATACCCTTGCGGATTGTCTGTGTATTATTTAGAGAAATTTCGTACTTCATTTATTTATGCGAATTTCTGTGGTTTTTGAGCCCGAATCTAAATGTTTGATTTAAGTTTAATTCGTACTTAATTTAAGAATATTTACATAAAGTTCTTTAATTAAGTTCAATTCAAAGTTAATTTAGGGACTTTTATATAAAGTTCTTGAGTTAAGCATAATTTGTACTTAATTTAATAACTTTTAGCTTGGCTTAAAAGCACTTCTTCGATATTAACTGCAATTAATTTCATAATTAATTTCAGATAAGGTCTAAATGGTCTTAAAACAAGGGAAACAATTCTTGAATTAAGTTAACAAATGTCATTTGAAGTTATATTTGTACTTAACTCAAGCAAAATCCACATTGATTTCAGCTTAAAATTTCTTAAAGCTTAATTACTTTGGCTTGAGGTCAAAAAGACTAAAAAGCATAACAAAAAGAACTTGATAAAAGGCTTTTATACTTGAAAAGTTCATACTTAAAATAAGTATTTTCAATTTCGTGACCTGGTTGCCCTTTCTTACTTTCTTAATCAAATTTTCAAACGATAGAGAACAGGAATTTACTAATCAGATTCTGATAAGACTTGTTGTGGCCCATAAGTCCCAAGTTTCGTCGAGATGTAGAAACAAAATTGATGTGCATACAATAACTGAATATTAAACTGAATGTTCCTATGGCAGCTATCTGATAAAGAGCCAGGATCCGTCCTACTCCGACAAACGATCCTGCCAAGATTCATTTAACTGGTGTTAAAACTAATCATTCCGCCCAATCTGAGCTCATCAAGAGTATATATACGCTATGGACTGGACAACTGACATACAAAGGTATCGAACGTGGATGAAAAACTGGCGAAAAAATATAAAAAACCTTGTCGGCTAACAAGTATATCAGGCCCGAATGCCGGTCAGGACTTTGAACCGCATGTCCTGTGGCCTGCTGCTCACTGAGCGAAATTAGCCAGGCAAATATGTCGCACTTAACTGCGAACGGAAGACGGCCAAAAAGGCTGACAGAGATACCAAAACGGACACGGACACACACCACAAACACACACACACACACACAGACAATGTCCTGGCACGGCAATTGCCTGGGCCTAACGAGCGGGTGGGTGGGTGATGCTTGGTTGGGTGGCATTGCGCCTCGTAATTGTTGACGTTTGCGCCTTTTGGCTGGTGGGCGTGTTGGGCGAGGGAGTGTGGCGAGGGGGTGTGGCGAGGTGGTGGGGGGGAAGCGGCGGCTGCGGGCCATGCGGGCCATGTGACACAAATGCGTCGAATTATTGTCATATGAGGTCACTGTCCCTGTCCCTGTCCCTGTCCCTGTCCCTGTCTCGAGGCTCGCAGTGAAAGTTTCTGCCAGACACACACACACACACACGCACACACACACACACACTAGCACACACATTCTGTTACTCTGACACTTTGGCGTTTTGTTTGCCTGCGCTCTCGGTCTATTATGAAGCTGGAAGTCAAGCAAATGTTCGCTTGAACATTGCCACAACACCAACACCAACAACAACAACAACAACAATGGCAACAGCAACGGAAACAACAACAGCAGCTCGACTGCTTGCAACTTGTGGGCTTGTTACACATTTTGTGGCACACACACACTCCATAGATAACAGCCTCATTGCTCATACGCCGCGTGGCACCCAAAACCCCTTCTCTCGACTAACTTTTACAACTGTTGCCGTCATGAATAGTTGAACAGCGCGCCGCGCATACCAAAAAAACTGCATGGGAATTCCATAAAAAAATATAAAATAATATATGACTAGCAGATACCCTGCTGACAGGCAGCTGTCAGTTTGTTGTTACGCCACAAGCAGCATTTCATCTTGTCTCAGTCTCATATTGTGAAAATGTGTTCCTAAATAACTCGAGTGTCTGTCATGCGATTACTTAAAAATTTACAATGCTTAAAGGGGGTATTAAAATGTAAGTGTATACCAAAAACCAAGTCTATAACTCTTGGATTCCCCGATCGTGAGGCAAGGTATCCAATAGGTAAAACAATTCATGAGTTGTGTATGCTATACAAGAATATACATACTTAAGTTCATAATTCTACCGTCTACAAGTTCATAGATATTCTAGTAAGAAATCTAGGCTTTAAATCGATATTTATCGATATCGTCAAAATAGTATTAAGCCTGAGCTGCGTTTGGTGTGCGAGAAAACATCTTGCAAAACTAAAATCTATCGCTTCCATAGATCGAATTGGGCTTAGATACATTTCCACTGCAATATATTCTGATATTATTATTAAAATATTATTATATTTTATATTTCCTTTAATTATCGCACTAGCCACACGGCTCAGTCAGTTGCCTTCTTCTGCCTGTTACATGCATTTCTACAACTGCAGCAAACCCTTTCTCTATCTCTACTTACAGGGTATATTTATCAGTTATTGATAGCTAGCTTCACATAAAGAAACTGATTGCAAGAGCGCAATTCTATTAGTTCTTTATCTTTGGCTGCTTTCTCTCAGCCCCACCCTCCCTCCTCCCCCTCTCTTTCTCAATTACTCTCTTCCTCTTCTGCTCTTGCTCTGTTTCTCATGAAATATGAAAGCGCAGTGTAATTTATTCAGCTCGACCAACATGAAATATACACATTCAGTTTATGAAGCTGATTGGGCCCTTGCGAATGAGTGGGCGTTTGAGATGGGCGTGGTCAGAAGTCTAAGTTGAAAGTTGAAGCTGAAAGTTGAAAGTTGCAGTTGCGTCGGGCTTTTGTGCCGCATACAGATAAGCCCGGAATATTCATTTGCCAGCCGGACTCGTGTCATATGCCAGAGCTGGCGGCAATCACTAATTGTGCCTTTTGTCTCGGCTTGTAAGATTGCGACTGCCACGCCCACTTCCTGGCAAGCTGGCAAGCTGTTAAGTCGGGGCCAATCAATAATTCATAAATGCACATTGACGACACGTTTCTTGGCAATAAAAAATGAAAAGCAAAAGCGAAATGAAATATGAAAAATGGGAAACGTTGCTGCAAAATGCTCGACAATAATTTAGCGTGGCGCAGCCAGCTCCCGGACCCGGTCCAGGTCCAGCTCCTGCTGCTGCTCCTTGTCCTGCTGCTGCTCCTTGTCCTGCTTTTGTTGCTGCCGCAGACTTCGCTTCGACCTGCTACTGAGCATGAACATGAAATGACTTTATCAATGCCAACTTCCTCGCGCCCGCTCTCATAAACTCACATACATATAGATTCGAGTGTGTATATGCTACACACACACGCACACACATACGCACACAAACACATATATATATATTTCAAATGAATGTCAGGCGCCAACATCGGCAGCAACTGTCGC